CACGGCGGGGGGGCAGGGTTGGGAGAGCCAGCCCGCTGAGGAAGGGGCCGCGAGTTGGGGGACAGGGGATGCCATGGAGGCATGGGGTTTGTGTTGGGCATTGTGGGGTTGGTGGGCTGCGCTTGGAAGGGAGCGCTGTACCCTGGGAGGGTGTGGAGCTGTGGGATTCGTGCGCTGGGAGGAAAGGGTCCTGCGCTGGGGTGGGGGGTGGGGGTAGAGGGGCACCTCTGGGACGTGTAGCCCCCCCCGGCCACAACGCTGGCAGGCAGCAGCGCTTGTTGTGCCCACACCTTGGCATGGACGTTGCTGCTTGGTAGCTCAGGTGAGTGAGATGTATTTCATTCTGTGCAGAAATGGGGTTGCTGCAAAGCCAAAAGTTTCCTCAGGCGTTGGAAGAAACTATCTCTATAGGAGCAACTTCATCTCCCGCCTGTTCAAGGGGGTCAAAGAGCTTTATTCAGATGCGTTAGCAGATGCTGCTCCTCTTTCTTTTTATCAGTAGTTTGTTTCATTTCTTTTAACTAGTCTGCATCTCTCGAGCAGGTGTTGGCATGAACAGAATTCGGATCCATGTTTTGCCGTCAAGCCGAGGACGCCTTACTCCTGTGCCGCGGCCGCAGGAGCCTCTGTCATGTGCCTTCACTCACCGCCAGTGCTCCCAGCCGCGGCTGGAGGGGCAGGAGTTTTGTATTAAGCACATTCTTGAAGACAGGAGTGCCCCTTTCAAGCAGTGCAGCTACGTTTCAACAAAGAATGGAAAGCGGTGTCCCAATGCTGCACCCAAACCAGAGAAGAAGGATGGGTGAGTACCTCTTTCTCCTGGTTCTCCATCATACAGAATTAAAACGGGCAGGAGAAGGTCCTCCCGATTCAGCTGCTGCAGTTACGTTACCTCAGACAAGTGGCTCCCTCTTTCTGAAGCGTTTTTAAGCTAGAAAAAGACTGTGAGTGCTGGACACTGCGTGGAGTCGTCTTGGTCCTGCAGGACTGTCGGGCTGCTGCCCTCTGCCATCAGAAGGTGGCTGCAGTGATCCAGGTCCTTTGTAAGAGCGTAAGAGCTGTATGTGCACCCACGCGGTGCCGTACCTCCGCTCAGCCCAGCAAATCTAACTTGCCGCTGTCTGTGCTTACGGATAATCCTCAGCACGTACACTCTGGTCGTGTGTTAGGTGGAGTTGATGACCTGGTTGTGCTTCTTGTTCTCTGATGCATATAAAATGTTCTGACTGCTATGAATGGAAGGACCTAGAACAGTTCTCGACATTCAGTAAGCATGACAGCAGAGCACAGTTTCCCTTATGGGAGCATCGACCCGTGTTTCATTCTCAGAGGTTACGGGGATGTGGACGCTGATAGTCTTCATTCTGCCCTTGGTCCCTCTGCGATAAAAAGGATCCATCCGATGTGGGCCAGCGTGCTCTGTGTGGAGACTGAGAGTCCAGTGTGAATGTTTGGAAGCAGAAGAGCTCACCTCAGTGGCTTTAAGTAAAAAGCTCTTTTCTCTCGCTGCTGCTGTGCCATGTGGCTGCTGGCTCCAGTGCCAGAGGTGGCATTTCAGCGGTGGTGTGTGGTCTGCGAGCCACCCAGGGCTCTCTGGCATTTCCAAGCTGTACCTGCAGCCAGCGGCTCCCTCTGAGAGAGAGCTGTGGAGGGGATGTGCTTTCCAGGTGCCAGGGAACGTTTCTCACTGTATCGCTTGTTCGTTTTGCTGGCTGAGGGCTTGGAGTTGTAACAAGCTTGTGATTTATTCCCGCAGCACGTCGTTCTGCGCGGAGCATGCCCGTAGGAACACTCTGGCGCTCCAAGCTCAGATGAAGAAGTCCAATCCTGGGCCTGTAAGCGAGACTCTCCTTTGCCAGCTTAGCTCTTACGCCAAAACAGAGCTGGGCTCCCAGACCGCAGAGAGCAGCCGCAGCGAAGCCAGTCGGATCCTAGGTAAGAATTGAAAGTGAAAACCGGTGAGAGAGGACCTGGAGTTCTCCATTCTGCGTGGAAATGCCAAGGATATCACTTCTTAAATCAGTGAAAAAAAGATCCCAGGGGTCCGTGGGTAAAAGATTGTGTTCTGCAAACCCTGGTGTGTCTCGCCTGCCACTGACTGTAGACGACTCACACCGCCAGACCAAAATCCTGCAGGTTTTCTTCCCTTGCAGTCACAGAGTAGAAATGTTAGCTAGCTTCCTTCTTTGCTGGGTTAGTCTCTAGCGCTGCCTGTCAAACGCTGGCTCAGTGCTGAGCTTCTCATCTCGCAGGGTCGCTTGGTGGGGCCAGCCGGCAGTTCGTGGTTCCTAGGTAGGCAGGAGCGCCACCCCACAGGAGCTGTGTGTTTTGGCTGCGCCGAGTTGGTGGGTTTCCCGTTGTTCCATGTCGCTGGCTCACACTGTGCTGGGGAGGAGAAGTCTCTCCTGGCAAGAGACAGAGCTGGTTCACCTCCGTGCGGCCGTGGAGCCGAGCTCCCGGGGTCCCCGGCCGCCCTGTGCCAGAGCGGCGAGCGCTGGGACGTAGGGCAGTGTCCTATTGCTCAGGGTGACTTGTCTTTTCAGATGAGGACAGCTGGAGCGATGGCGAGCAGGACCCTATCACAGTGGACCAGACGTGGCGAGGGGACCCGGACAGCGAGGCTGACAGCATCGATAGCGACCAGGAGGATCCCTTGAAGTAAGTTGGATGCTGGTGGCTGCAGGCTGCTTACACACGTGTAGCGTGCGGAGCGTTCTGAGCTCAGTGTGGTACCAGAGGAGATGGCGGTTATGTTAAAGAGGTGATGTTATTAATGGTGTCGCAGTTGGACTTTGATCCTTGGTGAGCTGCTAGGTGTGAATGCTTGTAAGTCTTGGACCTGGTGGTTCTTCTGGGAAGTATTTGATGGTCATCCTCTTTCAGTGTGGAGTGGTCCGTTCAGCAGCAGTCTCTGGGTGATCTCTTAAATTAAAAATAAATCTGTAAAAATCAGTATTTCTGCTCGTCACCCGTTGATCTGTCTAACCCAGCCCTGCTCAGCCCGTGTTTCTGATAACGTCCGTGCCATTCGGCCAGGAGAACAGCCCCGAGGGACCCTTAGAAACTTCACCCTGTCTGTGGGGGTGTTTTTCAGGCATGCTGGCGTGTACACAGCTGAGGAGGTGGCTTTGATCATGCGAGAGAAGCTGATCCGCCTGCAGTCTCTCTACATTGACCAGTTCAAACGACTCCAGCACCTTCTGAAGGAGAAGAAGCGCCGATACCTGCACAGCCGCAAGGGAGAACATGAAGCCATAGGCAAGTACTGGTACAGGTAGTCACTGATCCGTATTCGTCTGGCTGAGGGCACAGCGCTTCTCTAAAACACATGCAGAACTCTACATTTAAAAAAAAAATGGGGTTTTTTTGCCCTTTGTAGAAGCAGACTTCAGAGCAGTGCTGTCTCGGTAAGGGTAAGAATTACCGTAGGACTGAAAGTCAGTTAGAGAAGGTATTTTTGTGGCTGGCCTCATGCCTGGAGATTGGTATCGTTTGGGTTAGAAAGGTTGCCGGATTTCTTTGCTCTTCAAAGTTTGCAGTGTTGTCAGGAAATGAGACTACAAAGTTTACTTCTGAGGCAAAAGTTCTTTTTTTTTTTTTTTTTTGTATGGGATTTCCTGTTTTTGGTTTTATAAACAAAAAAATTTATTCATCTGTAAGGTCCTGTCTGTATCGGCAGAAGTTTTGTTTCAGTTGTTAACACCAGTACTGCTGTAATGACGTACTCCTCCTTAGCAGGGGTGCACCTTTGCCTTGCAAAAGCACTTCTGCCTCAGTTGGATTTCTCCCTGTACGGAACGTGCTCTTGGAGGCAGGAGTTCGTAGTTCAGCAGAGGCAGAGCTGGGTTGTATAACTGGTTGCAAGTATTGCAGTGCAAAGAATGCTTTCTCTAGCATGGTCTTATAATAGCTCATCCTGGAAAATGGCATAATATGGCTCGGTCTCAAATAAAAATAACTGGAAGTTTGGTACATAACAATTTTGTAGAACTCTTTTTAGCAAACCAGTAATAGAAAAGCAGATCCTGAGCGTTGCCCTGTAATTACAGCTGGGAGTGCTTACTGGAAGCTTCCAGAACTTGCACAGGAGCAAGCTGAAATTTGACAAACTGCTATTCTGCCTGCAGAAATCACAATAGACTTTTGAGTGGCCAAATTATTTTAAAAGATGCTTAAAAATATTCAGTCGGCTCCTCGTGTGCACAGAGCAGTTGGGATGAGTTTTGGGATGGAGTCTGCTTTGTCATCCTCTTATGTAACTGAAAGATGTGCTTCCTGTTTATACGAGCAACTCTCGCTGCTCGTTCGCTCCGTGCGTTGACATCTGTGTCGTTAGTCAGCTGTTGGAGCGCTCGACAGCTGATTTTGGCTCTCGATACCAAAAAAAAAATGGAAGGATGTGGCAGGTGGGGGTGGTATTTTCTGACCCCCTCCCCTCGCTCCTGGCAGGCAGCAGCCTTCTGACAGGCCCGGAGGGGCTGATGGCCAAGGAACGTGAGAACCTGAAGCGCCTGAAGTGCCTGCGCCGCTACCGGCAGCGCTACGGCGTGGAGGCCCTGCTCCACCGGCAGCTGAAGGAGCGCAGGATGCTGGCGACCGATGGCGCTGCCCAGCAGGTGCGTCCAGCGGCTCGGGGACTGGGTATGGCTGGAGTTACAGCCTCGCTTGGAAGCTGGGTCTTTCCTCTCGTCCCTTCCTGGGAGCGATCCCGGGCCAGGTGCGCTCTGGCCCTGCCGGAGCGCCCCTTGTAACATGCCCTTTCTGCAAGGACATAAAGATCTGGTCCTGGCCAGCACCCTCGGTATCCACACGTTGGCCGAAACATCGGGGCTTCCTGGAGTCATTTAAAATGGGCACCAGAACTGCACAAGTTAAAGTGTGGGGTTGGAGAATTTTCCCTTTTGAAAGCGAGGGCTCAGTACAAGGTAGCCTGATTTTCATCATTGGAAAAATGTGTGGGAAATACTTCTTACAGTGGTGAAACCCAGACTCCTCCTAGACCTGTGGGGACCGAAAGGCAGGCCCCTTGCATCACACGTGAAACTAAATTTGAAGCTGTGTGCAGCCATTTCTTTGTAACCATTTTAAAATGCAAAGCATTCCCTTAACTGACTTCTGAAATTTGAAAGATGAGTCTGAGAAACCTCGTTCTTTGAGACATACTTCTGAGGTGAAGTTCTTCCTATTGAAATCGAGTCGTGCCTCATTGTCTCAGCTCTGTTTAATAAAAGCTTGAATGGGAAGGACATAATGAGGAGCGAGGCTCTGCTGGAGTGGAACTGAGAGTTTGGTCTTGGCGTGTTTTGAAAGCAGGACGCAAGTGTTGTATAGCCGAGGGGGTTTCTCTGGAACAGAGCCGGACGACTCTCCAGCGCAGCTCTGAGCTCTTCTCTTGGACTTGCAGGCGCACACCACCCGCTCCAGCCAGAGGTGCTTGGCCTTTGTCGACGACGTCCGATGCTCCAACCAGTCCCTTCCGATGACCAGGCACTGCCTTACGCGTATCCTTTGATCTGCCTGTGCTGCCTTGGGCTGCGCTCCTGACTGTTTGCTGGCAGTTTGAAGTGTGTTTGATCCTCCTTTTTTTCTCTTTGGCCCTAAATCAAGGCCATCGGTTTGCTGTAGCCGTTGGTTTCAAGCAGGAGCCCAGAGGAAACGTCTCCCGGTCTGTTGGCGCTCCCGTCCCCATGGAACGGCCAATTCGTGTGGGAGCGACAAAAAGCTGGGCTTGCCCTCGCTTCTGCCCGGGCAGGTCCCGCTGCAGCCTTCCTGTGGTACGCTGGCCGATCCAGAGCATCCGAACGGGGTGGCTAGTTCACTTGGAAGTGACAAGGGAACCTCACAAAGCCCGAGGGAGGCTCGAGATGGTTTCTGGCTATGTGAAAGGGGGATAGAAGCAAGTCTGCTCTTGGCTGCAGGTGCTGGGTGCCAGCAGTCATCCTGAGCAGGGTCTGTGAGCTCTCGGTATGAGTCCTGCTGTGAGGGATGTTTGTAGAAAAGGGTGTCTGACTGCTGAAGCACGTGCTCGGTGATTTTTGGGAGGATCTGAATGAGGGAGTAGTTCCTAGCCTGTTTGGGGCTGCCATGGGTCAGCTCAATCTCCTTTTACTCCTTGAAAGGTTTGCACACATGTGTGTGAACAGCCTTGAGCTGTTCAACCTCCTGAAACGGCCTCGGCTTTTTGAGGGCTAGCACTGAAATTTCCACTGGGATCCCCCCAGCTCAGGGATCACCACAATTTCCACTGGGATCCCCCCAGCTCAGGGGATCCCAACATGGGATCCACGAACCGAGCGTTGCCCCTGCGCAGCTCTTGCCTAAATGGGATTGGGTGGATGTGTCCAGGAGCAGGTTTGGATCGTGCTGGGGCTGCATTAGCAGCTGTTGCTGGTGTGAGTCAGGAGAAGCTCCGGTGCTGGGTCCCAGAGCAGAGCTGGCAGCCCAGGGGGAGGAGGAGCTCGTCGTTTTGTGCGAGCTCTTCGTTCTGTTTTGTTACTGAAGTTGGCAGACTCGACTCCAGGTATGTGCAGGGAGCAGCCCGGGTAGCAGGAAGGTGCCTTGGTTTCTCTCTAGTGACCATATGCTTCAAAATAAAGACAGGATAAATACCTATAAAACGGTTTGAGCAAGTTGCTGTTTGCAGCTGACTCGCTTTGAGCAGGGCAGGCTGAGAAGGGAGTGGAAAAAACGAGGTTTGATTTCCTTACGTCCGAGCTGTCAGCTGACTTTCACTGACACAAACAAGATTTTACTTTGGTTAGCCCCGCTGAGCCGATAACATCTGCAGTTTGCTCTGCTTTGTGCATTGTTGGGAGGCTCTTGGGCTTTGTTTGCTTTTCAGGAGCTGGATTGTTTGTGACAATGCATTAAAGGGACCGAACCCAGCTGGGCTGTTGGGCTCCAGGTGGAGCATGTGATTTGGTCATCTTGGCAATCCATGCTTTTTGGCTACCAATAAAGTCGGCGCTTGATCTGGGAGTCATTCAGAGAGATTAAAATCTGGCTTCCCCACCCTGCTGTTCATACAGAGGCGCTTTCCTCACCACATCTGCCCTTGAGTGTCTGAGAGATCTGGCTCCTCTGGGCTGAGCTCTGTACCGTTGCTGCTAGCACAGATTACGGGCTCCCCACAGCCTGCCGGGAAGTCGTATCGGCGCGTTCACAGCTGCCTCGGTGCAGGGAGGAGAGGAGGAAAGGATAAATCTGAAACCTAGACAGCTTAAGAAACTGGGTTAAACTTGGCGCCTTTTGCCAGTTTATGTGGGTTTGGAAGTTTGGGGTTTTTTTTTTCCTCTCCCACACTGCACTGTGTGAAGAGGAAGCTGTGGCATGAACCCACAAACGTCGAGAACAGCTGGGCAGTTGTTTGGGTGGGTTTGATATTGAGGTATCTGACCTGAGAGACTTGATCGACACCTGAAATCTGCTTTGGCCCCAGCTCCAGATTGTCACCTGCGTGGAGGTTGTGCCTCACTCTGCTCACTGGGTGACACAATCTCAGCTGTTCCTTGCAGCAGTAAGTAGAAACTTCACGACTGTCAGTAAAATGTTGTTTATGCAGACCCTGGTGCAGCCTCAGCGGTGGGTCCGTCTGTAGTTTCGCAGGGCTCTTGGAAGAGGATGGGATTTGGTCTGTAGCTACTCTCTGCTGGTGGATTGCTCTGCAAGCGCGATGCAATTGGAGCAGAGTTTCTGTTTGTGATTAAAGGCAGGAAATCCCATTTACACCTCTGGCAGGAATAGGTTTTCCATTGGGAAGGAAAATGCACTGGGAAGATAGAAATACCGGAACTAAACTCCTGGCTGTGGAAAAAGCATTGTGTGTGCTCGTATCTCCGCTGCGTGTTAGATGTTAAGGCCTGTGCAAATGCCTTTTAAATGGATGTCTGCAACTAAAAGTAAGTCTGTGCATTTGTAATATCTTCCATCTGAGGATCTGCGAGTGCTTTACAGGGATCCAGCTCCGTTTCCCAGCCCCCACTGGGAGGCTGTCGCTGTTGTCCCCGTTTGCCATCATGCAAGTAACGTCATCCACACTGCCGGGCAGTCGAGGTGCAACTCTGGAGTCCCTCGGGGAAATGTATGGGGTTTTTAACACCGTTTGCTGGAGGGTGGTGGGTGAGGGGGGAGTGTTTATGCCTCTGGATGCGTGTCCGTCTGTAGCTTGTCTGCTGTGCAGGTTTCCCTTGACCACATCTTCCCAGACATCTGTCAGGACACTAATCAGACTCTGTTTAAACCGTGTCAAGGCTCCGAGGAAGTGCCCTGCAACAAGCCAGTTCCCGTGAGCCTCTCCGAGGATCCGTGCTGCCCGCTCCATCTCCGGTTGCCTCCGCAGATGTACGTACCCGAGCAGGTGCTGGCTGTCCCTGAGGAGCTGGAAGCTGCCCCCACGGACCTGTACTTGAGCGCTGCTGAGCTCCAGCCCACAGAGAGCTTGCCCCTGGAGTTCAGCGATGTAAGTTGTGCAGTGTGCTTTAGGCCGTGGTGTGCAAGCAACGTGTCCTGCAGAAAAGCTTCCCCTGAATATTGCTGTTTTGGTTACATGCCATGAAGTCACACTGAAATGCTCGTGGAGCGGGCTGCAGTGCAGCAGACCCGGTGCTTTCTGTGGAGCACGCATGGATGTCATGTAAAGCACTGCCTCCCCAGCACAGATAATGTAAAATTATTTTTGTTCTTGCTGGCTTGGGGAAGGAGAGTCTCTTGAAGAACGTGCAGGAATGCGAAAGGTTTGGGAGATGTTTGTTTCTGTAGGGTTGGTGACTGCCCCTTTAGAAGGGCTGTGCTCCCGTTTAAACCTGTATTTAGGAGTCTCTTGAAGAACGTGCAGGAATGCGAAAGGTTTGGTTGTTTCTTGTTTCTGTAGGGTTGGTGACTGCCCCTTTAGAAGGGCTCGTTTAAACCTGTATTTAGGGGCTTTTTAAAAAGAGGATTTTTTTTTTCCCTCTTCTCTCCCAGAGGAGTACGGTGAGGATTTTAATCCCCAGATTATTCTGATGTCCTGCTTTTTTTTTTCCCTCTTCTCTCCCATGAGGAGTACGTGAGGATTTTAATCCCCAGATTATTCTGATGTCCTGCATGCGTGTTAAGCCTACATGCTTAAAATCCTCTGAAATTTGTTTAAACAAAAATATACTGCAGTCGTTTGGAGCCGCTCCTCTGAACGAGGCGTCACTTGCTTTAGTATTCGGATGCCCCTGAGGTTCTTGAGCACTTCTATCAGGAGGTAAATCTCGTAACCACTTCAGACTCTGCTGGTGGAGGAGGGATGGCCAGCAGCTGTGGAGTCCCAGGAATGGCAGCAGCCACAGTGTTAACACAGGAAGAGCAAGTGCTGCTGCTGTGGGGTCAGGCTGGGCCCAGCACCCCCGGGGTCGAGGGAACACTCCCCCTGCCTTCGGTGGGCATCGGACCAGATCCCAGCCCTCCTTCCTGTGGGGCAGAGCCAGCGCGCTGCGCTCTTAAAAAGAGCCTTTGTGGGAGAGGTGGGGTTTTTTTCAGGTCAGAAATGAAAAACGTGACTGTTTCTCTCCCCCAGCCTGTCCTTCGAGAGGGTCCCCCGCCCCGTGCGGGGTTTCGGGTGCTTCAGGCAGGAACCTGGGTGCTTTGCTCCTGCCCTGTGCCCCGAGCTGTGCGTGGATGTAACCGCAGACACCCTGCGAGAGCCCTCCGTCCTTGGCTCGGAGGGATTCGGAGCTACGGCTGTGTAGGGCATCTGTGTTTTATCTCGCGTCACGCTAGGCTGGTGGAGTGCCACTCGTGAGTCGCAGGCATCTTGCCTTGATGTCGGAACACCCTCCAAAGCCAAAACAAACCCCGTCCTCTAACAATAGCCTCACAGGAATCCCAGCCTCTGGCGTCAGCGGGGTTATCCACGCACGCAGCAGATGGCAGCGAGCAGGGCAGATGGAGGAGTAAGCCAGAGACCGTCCACTCCAATACGTTCTGTCAGGGCAAGCAAAGGGGGTCGGGTGAAATCCTGGGAGAGGGGTGACTGCTCTGGGTGTCCTGAGGAGGGCAGGATCGGACCCTTTCACAGCCCTCCTGGCTGCTGCAGGGATGCTTCGGGGGCGGCACGTCACGCTGGGCTCCGGACCTTGTGCCCCACACCTTGTTTTCAGTGGGAGTGCGGCACCCCCAGCCTGGATCACACCGTTTCTGGAGGAGGTCCCCGTAGCTGCATTCCCAGCTGCCGAGGCTGAGGGGCCCGGTGGCACGGTGCTTGCTGCTCTGCCTTCCTCCTCCTCTGCCCGTAAAGCAGCAGAGCGGCCTGCTGCCTGCTCCTGCCCTGCTGCTCGAGGGGGTAGCGGAGAAAGGCTGTGAGGACTCGTGCTTCTGTCTCCCAAGAGGCTCCTCGGGACCCCTCCTGCTGATGAGCCCCTCCCGGTGTTTTCTCTCCTAGGACTTGGACGTGGTGGGCGATGGCATGCAGTGTCCCCCGTCCCCTCTGCTCTTTGATCCTTCTGTGGCCCTCGATCAGTCCCTCAGAGACGTTGCCGAGGCCCCCATAGACATACTGGCCCTGGAGGAGCCCTCCCACCCAGGCCTCCCTCCGCAGATGGCGCTGACGGACAGAGGGAGCTCCTCTGCCCTCGTCTTCTCCCCGGCTGCCGAGCCTCCGGCCGAGCTGCCTGCGCAGGTACGGCTGGGAGAGCGCACCGGGGGCTTCCAGCAGTAGCACAGCTCCTGCTCCAGGCGATCCCCCGCCTCCCGGGGCTCTGCGGTGAGCTGGAGGATGTGTCTTCCTGGGGGGACAAGTCTCCATTTGCCCTCCCACCACGCAGCCAGGCCCTCAGGGGATTGCTCTCCCATGCAGCGGAATTCGGACCCGTGCTACGCCCACGGTCTGGATGGTATTGGGAGTGTTGAGGGCGTGGGAGCCAGAGCCCGGTCCCGGGGAGCGGCGGAGGATGGGCAGTCGCCTCTTCTCTGTGGGTGGCTCGGTGCCACCCTCTTCCTGTGCGTGGGACGGGTGTCGCGGGAGCTGTCTGGGACGCCGTGGCGATGTCTTGCAGGCTGGGGACTACCCGCTGTGGGAAGCCCATTTTCTCCCATCTGGGGATTTTAAGGGAAGCTGTCGTCTTCTAGGCAAAGGGTTTCTGCTTTCTCCTTTTCAGTCTCATTTTTCACTTGCAACTTGCTCCTCTTGTGTCCCACCCGGAGCTTGTGGCTTGCTCAGGACGTGCCCACAGGGTGTCGTCTTTGGAGATGTCCTCAGATGCCCCGTCCTGCATCCCCTGTCACCCCCTCCGACGCTGTCCCTGCAGCCGAGGAGTCCCCTCAGTGCCTCCCCCCTGGTGGGAGCCAAGTATCGGGGTGGGGGGACCCTAGCTCTGGAGCGCACACACACCCCCTAGGCCCTGAATGAAGACCACCGGTTTGCTGTAGCCGTTGGTTTCAAGCAGGAGCCCAAAGGAAACGTCTCCCGGTCTGTGGGCGCTCCCATCCCTGTGGAACGGCCAATTCGTGTGGGAGCGACACTAGGCTGGGCTTGCCCTCGCCTCTGCCCGGGCACGTCCCGCTGCAGCCAGCCCACCGTGCCTTTTCTGTCCCCGACAGAGTCACCTGCCCATGGCAGCATGCCGCGGCTGGAGGAAACCGCCTTCTCCGCCCAGGCCCGTGGAGCGGCCGCCAACGGGAGCCTGGAGCCGGCATCTGTGAGCTGACACTGGCAGCGTGCGGCATCTCTACCCTCCCTTGTGAATCCTCCCTCATGCCGAGTCGCGGCGGAGCCCGTCGGTGGGACACGTGTGGAAAACCTGCAGGTGCCGGTGTCCTTGCCCAGCACCGGGCTGAGCCGCAGCTCCAGCTCCTCTGCCGGCATCATTCCTGGAGCGGCGGGGGCTGAAACTCCGGAGCGGGGACCCCAGACCCTCCTTCCCCTGGCTCTGCCTGCCCTCTCCGTGGGGCCGGGCTGGCCAGGGCAAAAGCCGTAGGGGGACTCGAGGCGGGGAAAGAACGGGGCGGCTCTCCACGCTCACCGGAGTTGGGGGGTCCTTTGCCGTGGGAAATGGTCCGTGCCTCTTGTGTCCTGGGGGGGCTCTGAGGCCAGGGGCGTGATGAGGTCCCTGTAACGTTTTTCGGTCGGGGGAGGAGGTTCCCTCCCGCGGGTAACCCCCACAATAAAGCGATGGAGATGGGCGCCCAAGTGTCCCCGTGTCCTGCGGCAAGGGCGGGCTGGGGATGGTGGTGGAAGAGCTGAAGGATGGAGCGGCTGTTGCCGTCCTGGGGGGGTTTGGGGCCGCCCTGGGGTGATGAACCCCCCCCCCCCCCCCCCCCCGCGGGGGCGGCCCGCGCCCTCCCACCCCCCCCGCCC